GGAACACGATGAGGCTTTCGTGTTTAACGGGCAGGGCAGAGTGAAAACGTTGAGCTGATGGTTCCTTGCCTGATCTGCCATTGCCAAAGGCTGACCCAGGGAACTTGCCTTTGCAGCTGAGCTGCAAAGAAAAAAAGCCTGTTAAACACCAAGTTTTAAACAGCACCCAAATCTCCAAAAGCAATGGAAAGTTGCTAGGGTAGTCCTTGCTTTTTTCAGCTGCTATCTCATGGAGAAAAAATAGAAATAATGTAATATCATCAAACATTTGCTCAGCTATTTAATCTTTGAATGTTTGCTCTTTCTTGCAGTCACCTTCGACCATTTTGAAATTTTGCGAGCTATTGGGAAGGGCAGCTTTGGAAAAGTAAGTATTTTGTGAACTAATCACCATTTGGACAGCTGCAAACGTAAATGGTTGAGAAATGGGCGAATTAGAGGCTCACATGAGAGTAAAGAAATAAATCCCTGCACTGTCAATGAGCTTTGACCTGAGCTTCAACTCCCGGTAATCAAGAAGGAATCAGAGCCTGATTCCTCATCCGTTGTGTAGCCACAAATTATGTTACAGGAGACTAAAATGAGAAACTGATAAATCAAATGAGCTGAAATTCATTATGTTTCTGGATAAGCATTTTCTAAGATTTCCCAGCAAATCAACACTGAACATCATGATGCATCTTTGATAAAGAACTACAATCAACATGAAAGGCCTGGCAATTTTTTGAAGAGGATACTTCTCTGTGAAACACAGTGTCTGTTATTAAGCATCAGGTTACAGTCATACGTTTTATTTTTATGTTGTTATGGAGTTCCCTGCTTGTATATGCTGACAGAATTCTAGAAGGTCATTCACCCCTTCACATAAGTGCACACTCATGCCAGAAATGAGGTGTGCCTTAGGTGCAGAGGGCAACAAAAATCTCTAGACAAAGCTATTTATTTGGTGGTGAAACAAAAAAGATTGACTGAAACTTTGGGAATTCATCCTAAACTCAAACTGTTGTGAAAACAAATCTGAAAAAACAGTCTGTTTTGTTTTGTCTCTTACAGACCCAGAGTCTTTCACTGAAGCAATGTTTGTTTCTGTATTTGATTAAATATAACTATAAGAAAGGTTAAAATTCAAACCCCAATACCCCTCAAACAAAGCCCAAGGTTCACTGTGAGCTGAATGAAACCTAGGAAGAAGCGGGGGGATCAGGTGCTGCTCCCCAGTTTCTGCCCTGTGGTTCTGTGGTGGAAAGGACTTTTCCAAACAGTACCTGATGTGAGAGGCAGGGACACAACCAAGGTTAGTTAATGCTATTAAATAAAATGTTGACTCCTGTGCAATTCCCTATTTATATCCCTGTCTTTGTGGTGATAAATTCCTTCCCCTCGGCAAAATTTCTTCTTTCACTGAAACCTGGGTGATTTTCTGGCGATGTCTGGTGTTGCAACGTCAGTGCATGGAGCTGTGACTTGGCAGCGTGGACTTTGCTAAAGCCACTGGAGAATGCTTGCGTGACTGTGTTTTACCTGCCTAAATTTGCTGACAAATCACTTCTGATTTATCCCTTGATTTGCTCACTTAGGTCTGCGTTGTGCAAAAGAACGACACCAAGAAGATGTATGCCATGAAATACATGAATAAACAGAAGTGCGTGGAGCGTAATGAAGTGAGGAATGTTTTCAAGGAGCTGCAGATCATGCAGGGCCTGGAACACCCCTTCTTAGTTAATTTATGGTAAGATACTGCTCCTTTGCTTACCGGCTGACTCAGCGTTGTCAGGTAGAGACACCTCTGAGACCAGCCTTGCCCACTTTTCTGCCGCGAGCCACGTTCGGGAGCGGCTGGGGGGGGCGCGCGGTCA